AAAGACACCTTCCACCGTTTTGATCATATCTCTTGATTGGATGATTCAAATCACATTCGGAAAATTGGGGTGGATAGAGGACTTCATTATCTACAACTTTCATGAAGAAAGTTTTGTCAAATTCGGAAGTTTTACGCACGCCGTTTGTAGGGGAACGCACGACCATGCGTCTGAGGCAAGAAAAGCAAGGAAGACACTGCCAGCTACGCACGTCCGTGCGTAGGGGGGACGCACGCCGTGCGTAGCTCTGGGTTACGCGAAATTGAATCCCAAATCGGCCAGAATTCATATTTTTTCCCCCTTTTCTATAAATAAGGCCTCCCTAACCCTTTTTTATGGTTACGAACATTACGGAGAGGCCTAGGGACGAATTTAACACCGTTTTTACGCTATTTTCTTCCAAGACCCTGGGATTATTTGTAAGTTCATCTTTTTAATTAATGACAATTATTTCTATTCATCCCAATTCTGTTGATTCTTCAATTATGAATTGTGAGTAGTTTAATTAGGGATTTGGGGTTGATGAAGGGGTTAATCATGATTGATGGCTAGATTCTTGTCGGTTTAATTGCATGAATGTCGTTTAATTTGTGTTTGAATAATTTAATTGATATCTTTTGTAACCTAGAATCGCGACTAGAATTACAATTGCATGTAGAATAAATTAAGAGAGATCTAATTTGTTCTAGGACACATTCACACACACTTAATCGTTCGCTAAGAGATTAGTAGCGATTAAGGGGCCGTAAGCTTGCTCGTCTTGGCAATAATTTAGGATCATGCCGCATGAGAGATCAGCCTGGTCCCCTAAATTATTGTACTCTACGCCGCGAGAGCGGTAAGAACTTAGTAATGATTAGCTAGACTCAATTAAATTTATTTCATGTAATTAGGCCTGATCTGCCAGAAATCTGGTTACCCCAGAATCGATCCCTGTTCCCTTCGTCATTAATTAGAAAGAACCCCCTAGTTTAATTGTTCGCATTAGTTTTATTTTCCAAACCAACCAATCTCGCACGACGCTTTTATTTTATTTTCTTTTAATCGGTGAATTTAATTAATTCTTGATTCCCTTTTGTCCGTCCCTGTGGAGACGATACTCGTACTTACACCACTATATTACGATCTATTTTAAGTGCGAGAAAACTCACATCAACTAGCAATAGATGTGCAGTTGCAGCATATGAATTTTAAACGCATTACCCTAGGTTCAAATCCCATTGGTTTTAAACCTTCGAGTTCTTGGCAGTGAATTTGACTTTTACATGTACGTATGGGATGTTTTGTTTTAGTTTGACACAGTTATTAATTAAATGGTTGAAAATAAAAGTTATTTTTGAGAATTGAGTGGAATATAATAAAGTGAATGATATGGAAAACATATTCCTTACTTAAAAATGAAACATTATAGATAGTAATCATTTTGAGACAACTCAAAATAAACATCAAGACAACAAAAATGAGATGAAAAGGGTATTTCAACTAAACATACTCATCAAGCTTGTTTCAAAGTTTCTGTGACTTTGAATTCAAAATATGATAATACTAATAATAATAATAAAGGGCTTTGATGAATTATGAATAGTGCGGGGACATTTATTATAATTTTAGCGTTTGGTGGCATAATATAGTACTCCTTCTGTCCCTAAATTATCTTGCAAACCACATTTAATATGAGAACTAAGAAAGCGAAAATTGTATGATATGATGGAGAGTTAAGCAATCTGCAGAGAAGAGAATAATGTGTAAAAATGTACGATAGTATAAGATATGTCGTTGTAAATAAAAAAATCTTTGTTAAAAAGAGAAATGACAGACTATTTTGAGAAAGACAAAAAAAATTTAGAATATTATTTAGGATGGAAAGGAGTATATGATGCTTCAATTCATACGTGATCATTGCATGTCCATAACGTGGTTAATTAATATCCAACAAACAATAATCAATCTCAATTCACAAGTTGCGAGGCTTAATGTATTTGTGGGATCATATCGTGAACTAACGGATATAAATCTTTTCAACTTCAAAATACTTGTATGTTCGTTAAGGTTAAATCCTACTAGCTTCATCCCTTTATATGTAGTAATTTTTGCTTTTCTAGTCAAAGAAATTAAACTTTTACCAATTATTTTAAGTAATATATCTATGATAATATTTTTGATAAACATGTTATCAATACTTATTATGTGTATAAATATATAATCACTAAAGTCAAATTTGACTAAGTAAAATGAGACGAAAAGGAGTATTATTGACTAAAAAGAGTTAAATCATCATTTCAACATAAAAAGACCTGTGAGTTTTAGATCCTATTATTGATTAAAATGAGTTATATAAGGTTTTTTTAAAAATATTTCTAGATAAAAATACATTTAAATTTTTTTTACTAAAAAATATTATAGTGTGAACTGTGAAGTCATAATCACTTTAATGTAAAAATTGACCTCTGTACCGGCCGTGTAAGCTCAATTCAGTCTCTGAACTAAAAAAAGGTTCAATTCACACCTCGAACCGGCAAAAATGGTTCAAATTTCATTTTTTAAGGTTAACCAACAGGTAAAAAAGGTCCAATTGGAACCCCTAAACTATTAAAAATAAAGTGTCAAAATTGCAATCAATTGAAAATATAAAACAAAAATAATAAAAAATTCAAAAAAAATGACCGGTTGTTTACCCGTAAAAATATGAAATTTGAACCATTTTTAATTTTTTCGGTTCAGGGTGTGAATTGAACATTTTATTAGTTCAGGAACTGAATCGAGCTTACACAACCGATATAGGGGCCTATTTGACTCTTTAACCAATTGAATATAAGCTATCATGATTAAAATAACGTGTGTGTCTTAGAGCAACTCCAATGCAATGGGTCCATTGGAGATAATGTGGCAATTAAATGGAAAGAGTCCATCTTAAAATGAGAGGGTCCATTCTAATAGGTCTCCAATGTTAAACAAATTGCAAGTGCAAAACACATGGGAAGCAACTTGTAAGAGAGAGGGGGGTAAGACACAAGGTCCCAATGTAGACCTCTTCTTGGACCTTGGTCATTGCCACCTAGGATAGACCTCATTTTTATGGTTTCGCATTGGAGAGCATATTGGATACATTGGGTGAGGTGGATGACATTTTTTTTGCAATCCACATCTACATTGGAGATGCTCTTATATACTCTGTCTTTTGTCTTGATATATGCTTTTCAGGTAAAATGCTGTTTGAGTGCTTGACCAGGAAATTTTTGGGTAAGGTTGGCTTGGCCCATTGGCTAATTCAAGCCCTGTTCTTTTAAGATCAAGGAAGCTGAGTGGGAAAAAAATTCCATCCCGATATTGTATTCCCACTTTAATGAAACTTGGATATATCACACGTACTCAGCATGTCGAAAATCGAATTTATTGAGTTATACATAGAATTGAGTATTTAAATTGCATATCATTCTTATTATTCAACTTTTTGTAATTCGAAAAAATACAACAAAGTATTTTGTCGGTCCTTATCAATACGGAGTAGTGAGCAATAATGTAATATTTAGGGATTACTTTGTAATTCTCCATAACTCTGTTTTATTATAAATACAAGCCTAAGGCACCCAAGAGGGCAAGCCATTATTTCTCAAATTATATTTTCGTATATGGTATCAGTCGCCTAGGTTTTTCTTCTCTCTTCCTGACATGACCGGCGCATATCCTACGGCCGTCTCCACACAATTGTCCTCTTCAACAGTGCCGTCTTCATCCATCGGCTTCATGACTTCTCAGGCGCAACCTGCAGTGCTGCCTTCATCCCAGGCGCCTTCGGTAGTGCTGCCTTCGTTCGAGAGTGGTTCCAGCAGCGTGGTTCCTTCAAGCCCGCTCCCTCCATCGGCAACTCAAGCTGTGCAGACAGTTCGAAAAATCATAAAAATTAGAGCCCGTTTAGTAGCCCCAAATTTTAGTTTATCATGCTTATCAATCGACTTTTTCTTATCAAAGATGTAACTTTTAACTTTTGAAGTTATTTTTCTGGGTGAGTTCACTGAAGTTATTGTACAACGTCATTTTAGCTATCTCACACACACACAAACACACACATATATATTTCTTTATTTTATAAATAAAATATATTTTGAATATAATAATTCCATAATTTAGCATATTCAACTCATTTGACCATTTCAGCTAGAACTGCAACAATTTAAGCAGATTGGGTCAATTGATCTAATTTCATGTTATCAAATGGGCTCTCAAATTGCGACGATAATAATAAATACTCCGTAATACTCCTTTGGTCGCTTAAAACTTTGCTAACTTTTTGTTTTTGAGTATCCCGAAAATCTTTGTCATATTTCCTTTTAATCAATCTGTGGTTGTTAGGATTTATCTCTCCCCTACACAAGCATGAACCACATATTTTTACTTTACTATTTTCCATGCGATCAAATTTGGTAAAATTTTGAGTGTAGAGGAATAGTTAGGTATGGGTGAGAGTTTACTAACGGGTGGAAATGCATCGATCATTGCCTCAGATGAAAACAGTACAATATTCAAGATATACAACAAATAGAAAAGATCAGGTCCCTTCGGAGCTGAGGGACGGGAGGGACCGTCCGGCCAAGGCCATCAGAGGGCCTTCCCGGTGGAATTTTTTGATGAAAATTTTTGAGCATGTTCCTCATCAAGTCTAGTTTATCCATACCAAATTTCAGCTAAAAATTCAACCGGGAAGACACTCAAATGATTTTTGGAGGATAATTGTGTTTTATATGCATATAAACTGCGCAGTTAACTTCCAAAAATCATTTGACTGCCTTTCCGATTGAATTTTTAGCTGAAATTTGGTATGGATAAACTAGACTTCATGAAGAACATGCTCAAAAAATTTAAGCAAAAAATTCTACCGAGAAGGGCCCCAAATGGCGACGGCCGGACGGCGGGTCCTGTCCCTCCGGCTGGACAGGATCAGGCCTCTACAACAAATATTCAAGACGTGCATATACTTAAACACAAATAAATGGTCATTAAACCTCATTCTTTTCATTAATTATATGTTCGATCAGTCACCAAAGCCATCGAAGTCAGCCATATGTGCATGAAGGACGACTATGATACGAAATTATTTAGTAGCAACTAGCAACGTATAGTACTTAGTTTTATTTAATTAAGGACGAGAGCAATTTATTGAATTAATTAATTAATATAATTAAAAGCCGTGGTGGTGGTGTTCTTTTTTCTCTTCCTTCTTGGCATCTTTCTTCTCATGATGCTCGTGAAATGCGAACCCACCAGCTCCGACCGCCACGGCCGCCGCTACTTCCTCCTCGATCTTGTGTCTGTGTCCTTGTTCCCCGTCCTTCTTTGCTTCATGCTTCTCATGCTGCATTATCAATGGTTGATTTTCTTAAAGATTATGAAAATTAATTTAAAGATAACAATGACTAAATTTAATTATTACGAGTATCTATAACTATGATCACTATGTAAAATGGAACACAATAATAGTTATGAAAAACTACTATGATAACGTGACAAAAACCATTATTGACATTAATTTTGGTAAGGATTCTCCAAAATTGGCAGGTATTTTAGCAGGGATATGTCAAATTTGTGTCAAAAACAATTTGCCATGAACAATTTGACACAAAATTATTGATAACTCCGTGCCAAATCTATTTCATTCCCGTAATTTTTTGTAGTGAACGTCCCATTAAAATTAGTGTATACAGAGTGTTGTAATGTAATGGGATTACTATTAAAAAATAATTTATATATTTGATATACAATTCATTATTAAGATCATTCGAAAAAAGTAATTTAAATACGAATTGAAATCACACAAATATTACCAAATTCAATTAATATGAGACCATATGAGTGAGATAGTTAAAAAGGAAAGGAAAGGTGGGGCTATGAACTAATCATAAGGGTGTTGGAAATAAATTGCTTTCATCCTTAATTGAATGAAATAGGAGTAATCATTCAAACAATATTTCCAACAGGGTTGCAAAGGGATTTGCTACTTCACCAATCTTTCATCCTTCTAGAACCGTTAAACCTACATTTGGAATAATCTTAGTAAAATGAATGAAGCATAAATAATCATGTTTCCCCATCCTTATTATTTCAGTCATAAATTAATTATTATTTCTAAACTTAATTCCTTAAAAGTTACAACGGTTATTGTGTAGATAAAAAATAAATAGACTCAAAATAATTTTTGAATCCTCTCGCGTCGCACTAATTAATTGACTTTGTCCATATTCGTGTGTCGAATTTACTATTCACTTATGTGGTTTCATTATAATTTTTTTCAGATTTAAAGTAAACTTTTATGATTCATTATAGCTATTAATTAAATTTAAATGTGCAAATCCTAGTTATCAATCATAAATTAAGAAGGAAAAGCTAGATCTAATTTAGTGAAATCTGGTAATTCAAGTTGGAATAGATCAAATATATATCCTTTTTATAGTTTTAACTTTACTTCGTTACGGTATACGAAGAATTGAAGTACTGAACTTTGATAGCTTAACAAGAAAAAAATAATGATCATTTTGAGAATATATGAACTACGTTCTAGCTAGTGATTTAAAAGTTAAAACTATAAGTTTCAATTTCTTGATATAGGTAATTTGGATAAAATGGGCAGAAAAATAGTGGTCAGGAATTTAACAACTGACCAAGGCAAAGGCTCCGGCAGCAGCGACGCCGAGCTCGCCGACGTGCTCAAGATGTTTGTGGTGTTTCTCTTCTTTCTTGTAGTCAATGGGGCCTTCTTCCTCCTTGTGGTGGAGGGAGAAGTGGTGGTGTTTCTCCTCGGCCATGGTGGTTCAAACTTTAGTTTGATTGGTATAGATATTAGCCAATTCAATAAGATGTGAAGTAGTAGAAATGGTTGTAATGTTGCTAATTCTACACTAGTATTTATAGCCGATCAATAATAAATAATGGTATAAATTCCATAACTCCTACTTGTATTAGGTGCGAAACAGACATTGATTAGTTTAGGGCCAATTAGGATCGGACCACATTACAATTTAGATTAAAAGTGAAGGATCTGGTCTGATATCCGGAGCAGTTGTTTAGGTCTTATCTAGCCTCATGTTATCTGTAGCTGGGGAAGGAATATTTGTGCAATTATTAAGTTATAATAATAATTGACTTTTGGAGAAAAAAAAAACCATTTTTATAAAGCTACTCATTCAATGTAAAAACATTAGTTTGGATTTTTCTCTAAAATTAGGATATTAAACTTTTTTTTTATTAAATTTGTGTCGCCAGCTTGCTGAAATAGCCTTACACAGCTTGCTAAAAACCCTCATGATCTTGTGAGGCTTATCCTGTCTATCCATCTCATTTGCCAAAAAGCCCAGTCCGGCCCACAAAAGTCATGGACTGGCCTAGCCCGCTATTTGAGTGGATGAACATTGGGTAGAGTATTTGAAACCCGGCCCATCCAATTAGCTCGGCCCGTCAAGGCGTCAACATCCATCCTGGCCCAACTTGTTAAGCCCAATTGAGCCCAGCCCAAAAATTGCGGATGTACGTTTTTTGGTAATGTTAAATCATGAATTTTAAATTAAATTTTCATTTATATTTTGAAAGTATATTTAATAAATAATTACGTAGTATTTTTTTAAAATATATATTAGTGACGGATTTTAGTGGCGGAATATCAGACACTAATATTAGTGGCGAAAATGCAGACACTAACTTCCGCTTCTGCTTTGCGCCCGCCCCGTTTATCCGAAGCTAAACTATTTTATGTCCATATTTTGGTGTCGGAAAAACCGCCGCTAATAGCCGGCACTAATGATGTTAGTGACGGAATCCGTGTCGGATTTTCCGACACTAAAATCCAAAAATTGTTGTAGTGATATGAATTTCATAATTATAACATACAAAAGTAATGAGTAATAGTAGAGGAGAATGAAGTTCTAGATGATTGTTAAGGTATAAAAGTTCATCATAGAGTTTGAAAAAATATGGTACTTCAATATTTATACATGTCTTTTTCAAGAATGTACCACCAAAAACTTACATATAGATAATTTAACCTTTCATTTTATTATTACATTTTGGAGTAAAAAAATCTTTTAAATTAGTGACATGTGAGCCAGGTCCCTATTTTGGAGACATGTCTTAATATTATTCTCATAAACCCATCTTAATTCAGCCCTATTAGTGACATGTGAGCCAGGTCCAGCTGGTCCCTTAAATCAACCCTTTTATATTACTAGGGCTGCAATTTTATTACAAAAATGACTTGACCCGACGATTAATTATGGAGTATTTTTTATATATTGAGTCCAACCTGACCAAGTCCGAACCATTAATTTTGGACTAATGTGATCCAGTCCAATGATGACATGTAGTGTTACCCTTCTCTCTCCTCCCAGTCCAACAAATTTTCCTCAAAACTCAAAAGTAGGTAATTTGTGGTGATTATTCCACCATGGAGGTGAATATATTCATATATTGGTCTCGTTTGTTTTTCAACGGATTGTTGCCTAATCGCTGCATTTCGCAGCGTTTTGCAGCGGTTTGCTCAAGGCGCTATTATCCAAACGGGGGTGTTATCTTTCCTATACATGGGATTAGGGGTGGGCAAAAATACCGAAATATAGGTATACCGCACTTACCGTACCGAAAAATACCGGAAAATACCGAAATATTGGTATACCGTCATTTTCGGTACGGTATCATACCGCACCGATCTATTTCGGTACGGTAACGGTAAATGTTTTGAAATACCGCGGTATACCGGTATAATACCGTACCGACTCTCTACTCAACAATTACTTTTAATTCTAATATATTGTAGAAATCCATTACAATTTTGAAGCCCAAAATTAATACTTAAGTTGGTTACAAATACAAATATGCAAAAATAAATGCCCAATTTCTCAAATCCACTATAACCTTATAGGCTTCTATCACGCTAACCTTAATGACTAATGAGTAATGTACAAATGTCAAGAAACAAGTTCATCTTGTTCCAAGAGCTTGCAAGTCGTGATGGCTGGGCTGCTAAGTAGCTGACGAGTGAAGAGAGATACACTTATGTGACAAGTGTATCTACATAGGGATTCCGCGAGTCGAGACACACAACTTTGTCCGAAAGTCTTCAATTTTTAAAAAATTATAAAAATGACTAAATACACAATATCATATTAGGAATAAATGATTTTATATCCATGTTGTTTGAATAGTTTTATTTATTTTTGTTAGAGATCACTATTGGTTTAATTATATCTATATTGTTCAAGTTATTTTAGGAGAATGTGTTACTTTTTGATATGTGGCATGTTAAATTGCTTAAATATAATAATAATTATTGTTCAATATTGAATTGACATCAATAGATTATTAATTGTATTTCGTAACATTTAAATAATGATTTAATATGTCACTAGTAATAACGATTTAGTATATTTCGTTAGTCTATGATGATTTTTTGTATTGGCAGACATGCACGGTAATTTACCGATACCGTACCGTTACCGAACCGAAACTTCGGTATACCGAAATGCGGTATACCGAAACTTCGGTAAGGTAAAGGTATGCAAATTTTGCATACCGAAAGTTTTGGTACGGCAAAGGTATGAGAAAAAATATAAGGTATACCGTACCGAACCACCCCTACATGGGATGCACAACATTTTGATGTGAATCAGACAAAAATTTAAGCCCACTTTCAGTTTTGACTCAGTTGATCCGTCTAAATCTAATTGTGACCCACTCCATCAATTAATATAATTTCACACTACTTTGTATGTATTCATCCATTCTAGCAGTTTTCTTTCAACCCAGCACCGTTAATATAATTACTTGGCCACTTTTTGTATAAATGCATAAATCCTTACATCACGTGATTTATGTGACAATTTTATTTTTATCAATAATTATGATTTAAAATGTCAAACTTCAATTCATGTGTACAAAAATATAAAAAATGTGAATTAATTTTTTGTAAGTATTAAAAATGCACACTTGAGTTCAATTTGAAATAAATTTCAATTAAACGGACAATAATATTTTTTCATTTTTAATACTATGTATTTGTTGAACATTAAGATGAATAAATTGAAACCCGTGTTATTAAATTTAAATACTAACAATCACATAGTATAAACACACATAATATTTACGATAATTGAAAAAGAGGAACAAATTCTAATACATTACAGTAACAGGAAAAGCCACAAACAGTAGTAGCATTAAGAGGTCAAACATTCCGATGTAAAACTGGAAAAATTTGGAATTTGTTTTTTTTTTTGTTACTTTAGACCTATTCTTGAAAAAATAATGATTGATAAATGTAAAAAAACAAACATGAACAATTAAATTTTAATTTCAACACTTGAATCTATTTCATAGAATTTTAGATAAACAAAAAACTCTCCATCAATTAAAATCTCAATTTTTGAAAAAACTTTATATATGCAATATTGGTGTCAAATGAAAGATCATAAAAAATTATGAATTTTGGTATTTTTTTTGTAAAATTTGAAGTATAAATGAAAACGTTATAACAATTTAAATAAATAGATGTTTTCTTTTATCTTGGGTCCCACATGCTCGTGGCCTCCCTAGAATGCCTTGATGCATGTTGATTTCATGTCTTTCATCTTCCAAAAGGTTGAATCCCCAACCCCAGGGCCCCCCACACCCTGACCCGACAAGACATTTTGGGAAGTCGTAAGTCACGGTGACTCAGTTGGTCCAATGGTGGTAAACCTTGTACCCATGCGCACCAGAGGTCTATCCAAAAACGCATGAGCTGTAACCTCCACTTGGCCGCTGCGGGATTCGATACTTGGTCATTATTCCAACTTTCCACCACTCAACGAACTGAGTTACCCGTGCGGGTATGTCTTCCTATAGTTCGTACGAGTGAATAAAGGGGTATAGATTTTCCACCTAAGGTTCTCCATACCCACTGTGACACCTCATTATACAACTTTTTGCTTAAATTGGAGCGTATTTGGGATAAATACCTCAAATTTGGGGTTTTACCCTACGGGTTACGGGGATCCTAAGGAGAATATGGGATAGGATGTGGGCCAAGCCTTTCTATACATGAACCCCATAAATACCAATCCCATAAATACTAATCTCCAAATAAAACACTTCATAATTGAACACGTCATTTTTATAATTGAACACGTCATTTTTGTGGATAATTTAACGCAATGGTAACTTATCAAATTTTCTGTCTCTATTATATATCATTATCCAATAATTATTGCATGAAATATACTAGTATGAGAGAACTCTTAACAAAAATTACAGTGGATTGATTATATGTCAAATTCGTCAAATCCTTGTTGTTTTGTGATCGAGATGTCATTGGTATAGTTTTTGAAGCCGTTTCTTGTCAAAAAAATTGACAAGAAATGACTTCCCTCGACCCTCGTCTATGGGGATGGCTTTATGCATGGGGTTGCCCCTTTATATGTCACTCTTGTCATACTTGCATATCTTTTCCGTTACTCCATTACGTATCACCAAATCAACTCGTTCTCCGTATATATATAGGAGGTGGTACCGTTGCCGTTATTAGCCAGAGATATTTAATCACAGATTAGAATCAGGTCGTAATATACATACATATAAGACTCTGATGTTATCAAGTATATGAAGAAAAAAAAAAAACAATCATAGTGAGATTGGAACAACAATACGGTGCCACTCTATGCACAATTTCACTTAAGGTTTCAACTTTTTTACAAAATACAAACCAAGGGAAAAAATTCAACTAGACTCCAGCTGAATCAGTACAATATATATCTACTCGTGTGCATAGATTTCTCAAAAGCTTACTTTCCCATGTATAATGATATTGCTCAAAAGCTTACATTGAAATCGTTACAAAGGCATTCAGTTATACACTATCGTATATGTAATAATACGAAGTATGTGTAACTTTGTAACAAGGAATTACTCGTACATAATTAAAATTTATTGGGCAAGTAGTCAGTAAAGGATGATGCAGCTCTTGTCATTGGTCCTGAAATCAACAGGTATCAGTGAGCCTAAATTATTTTTTTGAGTATATATTGTATTGTATATATGTTTTGGTTTAATTACTTATATATGGAGAAACTCAGAAAAGATCCTATCCAGCCGGAGGGACAGGATCCTCTGTCCGGACGCCGCCGTTTGGGGCGGTTCCCGGTGGAGTTATTTTTGATGAAATTTTTATGGAATGTTTCTTATCAAGTCTAGTTTATCCACAAAAAAAATCAGCTAAAAATTCGATCGGGAAGGCAGTCAAATAATTTTTTAAAACATAACTGCATTTTATATGGTTAATTTGGCGCAGTTATCTTCAAAAACTTATCTGACTACCTTCCCGATCGAATTTTTAGGTGATTTTTTTGTGGATAAACTAGACTTGATGAGGAACATTTCATAAAAATTTCATCAAAAACCTCCACCGGGAACTGCCCCAAACGGCGGCGGCGAGACGGAAGATCCTGTCCCTCCGGCTGGACAGGATCATTCCTCTGGAGAAACTAACTTAGATAAGTGTAGTATACTAGTATTTGCATCTCATGTTTTTATCAATATTTAATTTTACATGTTTTCGAATTACAACGCATGTTTTTTTCCACCAAACACATGCCAGAATAAAGATGTTTGTCAAATCCTAGTGGACTGGACGGACTATTTGAGCTGCAGAATTACCTTAGGCCGGACAGACTATTTAGGCTGGACTAAATTAGAAAGAAAAGGATGACCAAGGGGGGTAACGAACCAGACATTGATCAAGCGTTGACCAAACTTTGACCGAGGCAAAGAAACAACCCAAAATTATTCCATCCCACACATGGATGGACTCGGTTCGGGTCGGGTCGGTCCGGGCCGGGCCTCGGGTATATTTTTTTTTGCCTTTTCCTAATTAACCCCCCCCCACACCCAAACCACCTCAAATGGCCCAAAATACCCAGCCCAATCCAAAAACTTAAAAAAGAAAAATTCAAAAAAAAATTAAAATGGCCCGGACCGGGCCCAAACCGGCCGGGCCAGTTCACATTTTGAGGGGCCCGAGCCTGGACCGGAACCACCCCGGGTCGGGCCTACCCGGTCCGGTCCATGACCGGGCCACCGGGCCGGGCCGGGCCGGTTCCGGGTCGGGCCACCCGGCCCGAGTCCACCCATAATCCCACAATTGAAGCAAGCAATCCAAGTCCCATCTTCAACTTGTCCCGCACTCCCGCAACTCCGGCCGCCTAGCGACGCCACAGTTCAGCAACGATAACCCAACCCTCAGTTAACTTGGATTGAAGTTTTCCGATTTAGGTTGATATATTTAAGTCTAGCCCAATCTATTAAATTCTAGTCAGAAAAATTTCTTCTATATGTTTAGTTTACTACTACAGTACTACTCCCTCCGGTTTTTAATAAACTTCACACTTTCCTTTTTGGGACGGTCTAAAATAAACTTCACACTTACTTATTTCCTTTTTTGGCAAAGAAATTTACATAAAAACAGTGTCAAACAGTCTCTACAGTGCCAAACAGTGTCTCTACAGTGCCAAACAGTGTCAAACAGTGCCTCAACAGTGTACTCTACAGTAAAGTCAAATTTCTTTCCTTATTTTGTGTGAAATCAAACTGTGAAGATTAAAAAAAACCAAAGGTAGTATATGAATCATGAATGTGATATGATCTAATCTATTTAAATCTATATGATCTAATATATTTACGTTTAACAATGGATGCAAAATGCAATATTGAGATTAACACGGGATGCAAATACCAAATTTCCGATTAAAAATAGCTATGACAATGGAAATTAGCTCACGGTGAATTTCTTTATTGAGTTTTGCATCACTCCCGCGTTGGGTATAACTTTTCCTCAGAGCAATCTCCAAACATACAAACATCAAACAACAAATTAAAAATAAACAAAAGATTCCATAAGAATGCTTTTATGTACACGCATAAATTCTCCCATGAACTTTTATACACGCAAAAATGCAACTACAAAAACTAAAGCCAAAACTTGACATTGCACACCATATGTAGTAGAGTTATATGAACTAACTAATTCTATTATTCCCTGTTGGGTAAAAAATGAATGATACACTCAACACAGACAAACAACAAATAAATTAAATAAAATTAAATTAAATAATACAATATAATAGATTTATTTTAAGAACCACAAGTCAGAGAACACACCCTTCCAACCCGCGTAAACAGCCATTGCAAAAGATTGGGCCTGTCATATTCCTCTCTAGCCACCATTGTGGTGGTGGTGGTGGTTGGCAGCGGCATTTCTCTAGGCAAATGACGATGAAATGCGTCGACGGCCCCCGCAACTCCATCTTCATTTTCTATCATTTTTGCTAGCTCCATTACACAAGATTTCACCTGGATTCCAATCACTCTCTTTTCAAATATACATAAATACATAAAAATATTTGACTCCAAACGAAGTCAATATCTCAAGTTTTATCCTATACAATCAATCTTTTAGGGGGAGCGGCCCGAGGCAATAATGGATCCAGCAGTTCCAGCCTGGTTCTGAATGGCTGTTTCTGAGTCCAAATGAGGCTTATCCGTAACCGGAATCGGGTATAGCTGATCCGGTTCCGGTTCCGGTTCCGCTTTACTAGAAAGGTTCTGGTCCAGTTCCGGACGCATTTTTAGGGTATTCAAAAAATGAAACCTGTTCTATTTTGAAGGAAACAAGTCAATATGAAAACTTGAGTACGACCCTATGTGCTCAATCTCATAGAGGAGTTCTAGGCTTTAAATGTTTGTTATTTTATGAGTTTTTCGATGTTGGCTTACATTAACAATGAACATGTTCAATTACCTCTGGCTGTAGCATGAATTTGATGGCCTCAACAATGGTTTCGATGCTAAGGAGCGATATGGGAATAGGAGGTGGGCCAAGCCCTTTTTGATGAATCCTGTCTCCCCAGAAATATTGATCACCAAAGAAGGGTACTATAGTCGTTGGACACTGCATTTAGTGTTTGGATTATTTAGCACAGTTGTAATTTATCACCGCTATTTGCTTTATGCTGCATTATTTAAAGAAGAGATGATTTTACCCCAGCTCTTAACCCTGTAGCTGTAGTTCCAGCACCACCATGATGAATCTGGGTATGAGGGGCCATGATAAGAATACTATTATAATAACATAAAATTAAGGCACAAGCACGAGACATGGAAATGTGAAAAACTATTGAAAAGGTAAACTCAACTTACCACAGCTGCACATTGAGGAAATAGCCAATCATGAGGGCAATCCGAAATTCGGTAAACAGTTTCAGGGATATCCTGACCTAAAAAAAGAATATCATTTATCAATTATTATTACATTCGAGGGAAAGTAGAAAGTAAGCAATCAAATGCTTAACTGAAAGAGAGGAACAATGAATGCTTATTTGACAAAATAGTCAAAATATTCCTCCAAAGAGATTACAGAGAGAACTTACAATTTCCAAGACCTCCCCAACCACGGTCAATGATTCCTCTCTGTCCAGTAATTTTAAGTGCTTCCAAGAACATTTTTGTGGTTTTCTTGGAATCTTCCAGAGGCTTAAAACAATAAATGGATATCAGTGTGTGCGAAATATCAAAAATGAGCAAAAAAAAAGATGAGCAAGTATGTTTGTATCAGAAAAGAAAATTTAAATAAAAGATCACATACCATGCTCCCAAACCCAATATAAATAGGTTTTGGCCCTTGTTGGATCCATTGTGCAAATGCTTCCGGAGGTTGGTAATTTGACCCATGGTTTAAAAAACAGTAACCAACAACATCAACAAGCGGGCCCCAATCTGCACATAAATACAATAAAATCACTTTGTATGATTAAAAAGCTATATATATAATCGTAAAAGCAACCAATGTTCCACACTTACCTTGTGGTTTTGGGACTACATGAGGGCTCCAAATATAGCCAGTAGGGAGGTGAGATATGGAACCATGGTATGTACTGAAATATGCAATTGGGGGAAGACTAAGCTTCTTTTTCCTGAAGTCATTAATATAACTTCTTATGCCCCACCATATCAGCAAGTCCACCACCATATAAGAAAGCTGGAGTATGTAGTGATATGTTATTAGAAAACAAAAACAGTTTTTAAACAAAACACTGGAAGCTTACCCAATATCCAGCACTCTGGGGTACACGAGCTAATGGATGAGGAAACTCATATGTTGGCCTGCCTATTCAAGAAATATGTAAGGCATCACCCTAAGGAGATAAGTTCAAGAACTGTGAACACATTATGTCCAAGTTTAAAAAGCATTTCACTTTTAGTTCAAATGTAGGGAATTTTCTCACGTTGTGAAAAATATATAAAAACTATCCTACTCTATTTAAGGATAACTTGGACAATGAGCAAAATGTTTTTTAATACAGTGACAGCAAGTGAAAAAAATCAAAATCAACCACTGAAAGGGAGAGGGTCACTAGGGACCAAAAGTGGAATTTGCTCCTAAAATATTTTGTTGGCATATTTAAGAAAAAGAGAAGTTAGAATTTTAACACATGCAGCAGCTATCTAAAAATAAAGGAACGAGAAGACTCACGTCCAGGGCATTGTGAAGAATATGTGAATAGGCACTTCAAGAGCTTCAGCAACATGTACATGTCCTTCAAATTACAAGCAGAATAAGGCAATGCTTTTAGCCATAGATTTATTAACTATAACTGAATGACAATTTCCTTATTATCAATTACAATAAGTGTTAACCACAATAGGCACAAAGAAAGTGTTCATAAACTTTTTTATTAGATTACTTTCAATATATTCTATAAAAATTAAAAGAAAAATTAAAATGTTTTAAACTAAGTGGTTCTGAGAGGGGGTCCAATACATGAACATGCAGTGGAGAATATGATGTCTCTACCTTTACAACTTCCCACCCCCTATAACAGAAAGAATACAAATACGGACTGAAAAATACAAGCGCAAGTAACTACAAAGAAGTGAGTAGTTTGGTTACCATATGCAGGAGGATTTGCAATGATTGCTTGAACTCTGAAAGGCTGTCCTGTTTCAATATCTGGTTCTGTACAAGCTGGAAGAAGTGATTCAATAATGGCCTTTAACTGTTTTCTTTGAACTGCAATCTCCCCAGGTGCTGATGGAACAAGACCTTTATTTCTGGCCATATCTGCAATTGGATATATTTTTCTAAACACGTGTCTTTGTAACTTATGAGCAAAATGAAAATATTAACTACAAGATACATGTAGAGGCACGTTTTTGGTTTACAACAGAAAAGAAGTATATAAAATTGGGAACTAAAAAATGGATCACAGACAGGGAACCACAAAGTTAAACGTAAAATAAAATACTTGAATGATAAGGACGCTCTTACATCCTGACAAAACCCTGGGGTCACCACCCAAAGGATAAAAGTCAATGCCTGCCGACTTAACAAAATCACGAAAGTTTGCATGAGTTGCAAGTCTAACACAATGACCAAAGTCCTGTTAACAAGCATCACCATATGGGGTCAGTAAAATGAAAGCAATAAAAGCAATCATATCCACTAAAACCAATAAAAAAAAGTTACATAACCAAAACACCCTTGTAGATTGATATTTTAAAAAGCTGGATCGTATCATAAGCCTTCACCTAAACTTTTTGGTGGATAGTGTAAAAGAATTGATAACACATGCCTGTAGTCTCCTGGCTATAGCAAGAAATGGTTGTACATCTCCCCTTGTCCCCACTACAAGCATGGCAATTTGCAGCTTAGGAACTGAATTATTAAAGCCAGTATTGATACTGTCAACTCCAGGATGTGGCTCTTCAACTGTTTGAAGCTCCAACAACTCAGAGGTTACAGGTTCGTTCTTAGTCAGATCAACTTCCACTGTCCCATCCTTTTGAATCCTTACTAACTCAACAATGAGCTTTTGCTGAAAATATGAAAATGTTTAAACTAATTAAATAAGACCCCATAAGTGATCGAGAACAATAAACTTATGCATATGCATCAAACACATAGTCTAAAGAGAAATGAATAAATCTATTCTTCTTTTCCAAGCATTTTTTATGAATGCTTTTGACAGCATAATGAGAGTCGATGACGAATGCAATTTTACCTTCTCACGCTCAGAAAGTCTATCTAATCTTAGATCATGCCTTGGCGTGTTTCTTCTCTCAAACATAGATCTTGAAGATCCAAAGTCCTCACCTTTATGGGATGGACTTTTATGTCTGGAAACAGGAGCAGTAACACACTGCCGCAATCCTGCAAGTGGGGAATTCATGATTAAGACAAACAAGGAAGGAAAACCTCAGCCAGGGAAAAATTTGGATGACAAAACCTCATCTCAAGCAAAAAGTTGCTGATTACTCTAAGAAGCTAGTAACCTAGAGTCTAACATTCAACCTAAAACAAAAACAATGCACAGAGTCCCTTCATTTATGAATATGTGTCGTATTGATGAAATTTTGTTGTTCCTAAATAAGTCTCATGTAAGAACTTTTATAAAACATTATTTGCCAAATTAAGAAAGACAGTGTTATTTGATACTACGTGAATGGGAAAACTTGACAACTTATATGAATTATTCCCTGAATTGAGTTACGGTGTATGATTTTGAAGATTGATTGAAAATTAACAAAGATATTGTTATTTAATAAACATACAATTGACAATTTATATTGATCTTTCCCTGAATTGAGTTACCTTTAGGCTTGTTTGGTTTGGGGGGTTGAAAAGGAGGGGAGTGGATGATAGGTTTTTATTTAACTAACTACATTTCTTAGTCTTACATTAGATTAGATGATAACTATATTTTTGGTTAAATAATACCATGCGTATTTCTATCAAATCTTTCATCGTTAGTCTTTTTCCAACAAACTAAATGTAAGGAAAATTTTAATAAGATAAATAACACACCTACTCCTCCTCTTCAAACCCTCAACCAAAAAGGATTACTCTTCCTCGATTGGTGAGCAAAGATGAAATGTGACACTTACTCATAAATACTAGAAGTAATTGATTCAAACTATGGAACTTTGAGGGAAAAGGCAAATTAGGTGTATTAGCATGTTTGAACTTTGAACCATGGTTCTAAGCTTTCAAAGTTCAAATCATCATAAACAACATCAGGGAAAAAGTGTGCAAGGATTAATAATGAATGATGATGTGACAACCTCCTCCGGCATGAGGCGATTTGCCGAAACTCACATCTGTCGTTGAGGGAGTATTTATACTTGACAAATGTGGAACTGAATTTCCTCTATCATAATGTTCTTTGAGAGCAGAGAGGACATCAGACTGCTCGTCAGAAGACACAATGCCCAACGTATGGTCTTTATCATCAAATTCATCACAAGAACTTGAATCCGACAGTTCATCAGCAGACATACTATCCAAATTTAATAGACTTTGCTTTTCAACCCCATTGACATGTTTACCAAAAAGTTTATCCTCCTCCTCGTCTTGAAACAGCAAGTCAGCAACATTAATCTGGCCATTCCTTTCCTTAACTGTATGGCTTTCAACTCCATCTTTTAAATTTGAGAATTTACCATTACCGTTACTATGCATAGTTAATCTAATGACCATTGAACAATCATATGTTACCACTATCGAAACGCAAACCCCCTTCCATATTCCCCTCCAACCGTCCAATATGTCAAATTTACTCAAAGGTTGTACTCAAACAGATCCCCAATACTCGAATGAACTGAAATCCAAACTCCAAATATTATGCACTGTTAATCTAACTAACCAGGGTACAATCAATCTTTACCACAACTGAAAGTCTGAAACTCAAAAAAACCTTCAAGAACTCCTTCCCAGCGGCAAGATGACAAATTAACTCAAAAGTGGTACCCAGACGGACCTAAAAAAAGAAAAACAAACAAACAAAAATAAAAACCTGAATGAACTGCATCTCAAATTCCAAAAGCTGGTAAAGCATTCAGTGCATCATCAGGCAAGTACCTTTCAGAAAAGAAACAGACAAAAGTGCCAGTAATTCGAGCTTACAACTTCTCTGACAACAAATTCTAAAACGCCAAGAAAATTGGACAAGACTCAAACTTTAGCCACCAATCAATCAGCAAACCGAGCTACAACCCTGCTCCGTGGAGGCTCTGCAAATTCATAAATAAATCCAATTAGTTCATCCGAAAGACTGGATTTTGGGGGCGTTTCAGGAACTCGAAAATCACGTTGAATGTACTGGAGTAAGACCCATACTTTTTTTATACGAAAATTATACTCCGGAAGTAGAAAACTTGATGTTTGCGAGATTGTAAAAAAAAGCCCTAGCAGGAAGACCTTATTGGAGGGAATCTAAGGGAGTAGGCATGAAACATGAAGCTGCAGCATTTGTTGGGAGCGTGGATCAGCAGGTATCAATAAGCACATGATTGATGTGTTTGTGGCCGATGATTTTTTTTAATCAAGCAAAATTAATACGGAGTACTGCGTTCGTTTCTTGTGTCTGGAGTAAAAGCGTCAACTAACAATAACAAGTTTGAAAAAGTAAAACCTACCAGTTAGTCATAAAATTTTGAAAAGCCTGCTTGTCGGGTAATTAAGTAATTTTATTTATTTAGGATGTTTTCTTTTAGACTGAAATTGCTAGTCTGGTTTGGTCTGTTTGAATCTAGTCTGGTTTGGTCTGGTAAACGTCTGATTTCTGTGTATTTTATAACTAAGAAATTCTGGTCTAATCTGTTTAAGTCTGGTCTGGTCTCTTTAAGTCTGGTCTGGTCTGGTCTGGGACTGAAAACAGTCCAAAAGAAAACATCCTTATACTCCGTATATGGAGTATTGCGGAATCTATAAACTATTTCTAGAAATCTTGTTGATTAAGGTCATCCAAATTCATGAGATTATTTGGAGACCATCTTGATGATGTAAAAGATTTTTTTGGACATTATGATTGAGCAGATAAGATTATTATAAAAGATTATTTAGATCGAAAAAAAACTTGTATCAAATACTGAATCCTGGATTATTCAAAATTATTCTCAAGTTTCAATAAACACATTTAATACAACCATATCTTTTAAGCTTTCATTTTATTTAGGCGAAATTGACATAAATAATCCCTACTTTTATGCATTTTACAAAAATAATCCCTACCAAAAAAGTTTACAACAATAATCCGAACTACTTAACTCTTTTATAGAAATAAACCGGAGTTAACGGTGTTAACTTTTCCGTTAGTTTTTTGGCGTTTTAAATATAATGAAGCGAAAATATGTACAAAAATCAAGAATATTATATACTTCGTATATTTGTCATTATATTTAATTTCATTATGAATTAAATTTAATAGTCATTATTTTTCATAAAATGTTATAGAAATATTTATAAACATAATCATCAAATTCTCATTTTTCTTTTAGTTCAAATAAATATTTTATATATATTCATTTTTATTTCATTGTAATAGAGATTTAAAAGTAATTTTAGTAATTTTATATTAAACATAAATACGTACTAAAATGAATACAAGTCTGTGTTCAAATATTTTTATTACATTTTACAAAAAATAGTTATTATTAAATTTAATTTATAGTAGAAATAAGACTAAACAAAAACATAATATTATTAATGTTTTTATATATATTTGCTTCATTTTATTTTAAATTATAAAAAAATAACGGAAAAGTTAACACCGTTAACTTCCGGTTTATTTTTGTGAAACAATTATCCGGTTGAGATTATTGTTGTGAACTTTTTCAGTAGAGATTATTTTTGTAAAATGCCTAAAAGTAGAGATTATTGGTGTCAATTTCGCCATGTTTTTATATATATTTGCTTCATTTTATTTTAAATTAAAAAAATAATGGAAAAGTTAACACCATTAACTTCCGGTTTATTTTTGTGAAACAATTATCCGGTTGGGATTATTGTTGTGAACTTTTTCAGTAGAGATTATTTTTGTAAAATGCCTAAAAGTAGAGATTATTGGTGTCAATTTCTCCTTTTATTTATGTAACAATGACATGATCGAGCATGTTGGTTAGCAAGTCTCTACCTTCTAACTTTTGTACTATTTAAAAAGTTTCTAAAATTTTGTAATTGTACATTTGGCATGACAATTTATAAGAGTTTTTTAAAAATAAAAGATCTTTTTTAGATGCTACAATGAGTAGCATCTAATAAAAGTCGGTAGTTTTTAATATTAATTAGTCACAACAGTTTGTATACAAAACAAAACTAAATCAAACAGACAACTTTTTATCAAACAGTTGTCATATTTTACTTTTAAAATCTTTTCAATCAATAAAAGTTAACAGCTACTAAAAGGTCTACAAAGTATTTTTTTCAACTAGTTGTACCAAACATACCTTTATACACAAACCACTACCTATTTTTTTTATTTTAAATGAAACTTTTTTATGAGATAAATGCTATTTTTACTTGAACTTGTTTCAATTCTAGAACAGACTAGATCAGAATAGATCATACTAGATTCAAACAGAACAAATGTAAACAGATCAGATTAGATTAAATGTAATTCATTTGATAAAATGTATGTTATATATAGATTTTTTCTAACAACCTTTATAGCCGGATTAATGATGGATCACGCTTGAATGCAATTTAATACTCTATAATCTTTATAATTGCATTTTTAGTGTGTTATCAATAGCTGGTAATTATTAATTACATATTTACATGATTCTTAATTATTATTAAAAATATGGAGTTCCTAAATGCTTCATTAATTAGAACAACATTTTTCACTTCTTTTGTTTCCAAGAAGATTTAGATTTAGTTTTTCACATTATCTCTGTATATATATAAAGATATATCGATATTTGTCCAATTGAAATCCGAATGCACTAACGACGAGTTCGTATATCGTACAGCCGATGGCATTTTGGTAATTTAAGTAAAATTCGTGACTTCCGCTATATGAGCATTGATGCATGTGTAATGAGTATCAGGTCTATTCTATTGAGTTTAAGAGACTAATAATGAGCACCTCAATCCCTGCTTCATACTCCGTATATATCTTGCAATTCACTTTTTTATTCTTATTTTTCAAAATATCTACAATGAACTCGTATGAGTCTAATATTTGAATTTAATCTAATATTATACTTTTGAAATAGGTATGGATATGACATTTTAAAATAAGCATTGCACCATTACCAAATGAGAATACATAACTTACAAAATGAACAACAAAAAATTCAAAAGGCTCATTTAAAATCTACAGTACGCTCTAATTTTCAGTTGTGTACCTCATTTGAATTCTCTAGTATGCTCAAATTTTCATTTGTGTATACTCATTTTATTTTTCTAATGTGCTCAACTATTCAACTATGTATGTCAATTCTTTTAACAGTTATGCACATTTATTATAAACATTACACTCGTTTTCAATATAACATAAAACTTATGTTAGTAATTAATAACCTGAAAAATATTAACATACAATATTAATATATAATATTAAAATAGAATATTAAAATACAAGTCAAAATTTGTCCTTTTGGGATTCCATAACTAAAATACGGAGCACAAGACTTTGCCTTTATCGGTACTCCCAGCGAGCAGTGAGCGAGCAGCAATCAAGCAGACATCGATCGGAACTTCAGGACTTCAGCGAGCAAGCAACATCGATCGGCGCCTGCTTCACCAACTCTCAGGACATCAAAGAGCAGCACAGCAGGGAAGACCTTTATCATTGTAGTTGTAATTAATTGCAAGTATACCTAGTTGTACGGTGAGTATCGGACAACCGGGTGTACGGTATAATTTACCACTAATGACCCATTTTTGTGATTGTAATTGAAACAAAAACTTCTTTTATCCTACCATAACTCATAACGACTACTCCATATAATTTAGTATTAAAACATTCAAATGTTTAAATTAAACCATCATAATAATATATATTGTTGGATAATGGGCCGAGTCGAATACTATCGGCCCGTCATACACGAGTGTGGCCTGACCAAACCCACAGCACGGTTCGATTATTTCCCGGCTAGCCAATTAACGTTAGGATTTAATTAGTGAATATGTTGTAAACGCCTAGAAATATGTCATCAACTCCTTTATGATCACTACCTTATTTTCACTACACAAAATTGCTTCTGCTCTTTTTTTCTAACTTATTTCTTACCAAGACCTAATAAAAGCACTTTGAAACTATTAACTTTTATAAATGTTTTGCTAAGGTATTATGCCAATGAAGAGTTTTTACACCTACCCTAAACTCAGGATGTTTTTACTTGGACTGTAATTTGCCCCAGACCAGACCAGACCAGTCCAGACCAGACCAGACCAGTTCAGACCAGACCAGACCAGACTTGGATAGTTATAAAAATACAAAGAAACCAGACCTTACCAGACCAGACCAGACCAGTTCAGACCAGACCAGACCAGATCAGATCAGACCAGACCAGACCAGACCAGCAAATTACCGTCCAAGTAAAAACATCCTCAATAGCCATGTCTTAAAATGTTGTCAACATGCATCATGCACATTGCATGCCAACGGTACAAAATTGATTTAATTTTTTAGAAATAGTAAGTAGTACTATACCATTATTTAAATTGCTTTTGTTGACCCTGTCAAAAGAAAAATTGCTTTTGTTGATCTTAGGAAACTTAAGGCAATGGCTAACTAATACCACTATCTTAGCCCCTCTTAGGTCTGTTTCATCTTGTGCTCTCTTATAATATTTTTAAATTTAGATGGACAGTGACCCCGAGTATTGCCGATTTGGTTTACACATCTCGTTGATCTCATTCTTTGACTCTGTCTAGTAGTTATCTTGCTGTATTAGTTAGGTTTCGGTAAAAGAATTAACCAGTTTTCAATTTTAATTATATTGGATAGACTGATGAATAAAACCGTAGGATCAGTTTTAGATTTGAGTGAGACATAAATTTTAATTGGATTAACCGATTATTACTAGTTTAGTAGAACAAGAGTACATACCGTACTTCTTATTACTCCGCCAGTATATGATTCTAGATTTGAGGATAACTTAGTGCCCATTTGGTAGGCCAATTTTTCGGCTTATTAGACTTATGAGCCGTCTTTTTCACTAAACACGTGATTTTTTATATCATGCGCTGAATTGCGTAATAATAAGAAAAAGTAAGGTTGAAGTTACTTTTCTGGCTGTATTGGCTAAAGTTACTGCAGAGGACTATTTTGGCTATTTTTACATATAATTTTTTCTTTATTTTATTACTAAAATAAATTTTAAATATTTTTTTTTAATAAATTAGGAGAATGAGCCAATTCATCCACTTCAATCAGAATTTCACAAATTTCAGCAGAATTAGCCAATTCATAAACGGGCTCTTAAGTTCTTAAAAGATGTACCTAAATAGTAAAACAGAAATGATCAAGTTTTCAAATAGGAATATGATCAAAGTAGGGGTGGGTTCGGTTCTTGCGGTTCAGTTTTGACCTAAAACCAAATGTAGAATCGAAGTAAAAGTTCGGTTCGGTTTTACACTCCAAAACTTGGAATCACGATTTGATTGGTTTGGTTTGTTTCGGTTCGGTTTCGGCTTTTTTTGGGTTTTTACCAAAAAATAATCACTTAATTTAAAATTGATATAATACTTAGAGGATCAAACATATAACCTAAAGAATGCAAGCACGATACAGCAACAAACAAATAAAATTGATATATATCCCGCATACTCATATATATGTCTTGAATTATATGAGTGTGCGGGATAGATAAAACTGTATATATTATTGATTTAATTTGTTTGTGACTAGTTCGAAAAAAGTTCATGAATATATATGTTCTATGTGATATAGTTGAGATGAATATTTATTGTTTTATCAATATAAAATCTTTAAGTTATCTAAAAATAAAAGTTAATTACTACTAATAACTGGTAAATACATATTATCATTATTCAATAAAGCTACATTTTTACAGACAATGAATGTGTAAATGAATTTATAAACTAAATTAAATTAAACATAACACAAATAATATTCTCTAACACAAGAAAACCAAAGATCATTGATGATTTAAGATTAATTAGAATTAATGCTTAACAATTAGCATATAAATTTTATATTTTAAATAGTTCGGTTTGTTCGGTTCGGTTCGGTTTTGAAGGGTATAAACCAAAACCGAACCAAACAACTTCAGTTCGGTTCGGTTTTTTACATTCGGTTTCGGTTTTTTAGCAGTTCAGTTTTATTTGGTTGCAGTTCGGTTTAACTTGATTCAGTTTTCGGTTTTCGGTTTTTCGGACCCATCCCTAGATCAAAGTAGGGATGAATATATTATCAAATTATAAGTGTTCGATAGAAATGTGACATTTGCATTCCCATGATTCTTGAGTGAGTCAGTGAGTGACTGTGACAATGTCTAATGTTACGGTGTAACACTACAAAAAATAATGATATTGACACAAAATTAATATATATTGATCAAGTTTGATATGAATCATAACATATTTTTGGTATGCGTGGTGTCAAACATCTTATTCCAAAACCTTGTTAGAATAATATTGCATATTATTCTTAGTTATTTTTAGTTTTATTAATTGGTAAGCCTTTTTTCAGCTTATTAGCCTTATTCGCCAATTTTTCTACCAAACTCGTAATTTTTTGTTTCTCACGTTGAATTGTGTGATAATTAAAATAAACAAAATTAGAATTATTTTTCCGACTGAAGTAGCTGGAGTTACTCTAACAGTGTAACGAATCATTTTAACTGTTTTTATACATAGTATGAAACATATTTTTCTTCATTTTATTTTTAAAATGTATTTGAATTTTTTTTCTTAATTGAGCAGATACAATCAATTCAATCACTTCAACCAACATTTTATCAATAAATTAGGCTAATTAATTTCATTATGACTAATTAAGTTTCAGATTTGAATTATACTACCTCCGTCCCGTTGGAAGGTTCTCATAGCAAAATGACACGATTATTTAGACAATAATTAAATAAAGTACTTCGAGTATAGTTTGAGAAATAATTTTTATAGGTATATATTATAATGTACGGAGTACTTAGTATTGATAAATGTGATGTTATAAATGTATTTTTTTTAATATTTAATGATTAATTTGTAACTTAAGATTGTTAATTGTTTCCTAAAATGGAAATGTGCTACGAACTAACATATGGAGTAATAATAGAATATTATTAATATGTATTGCTCATGATTACATTCCATAAGGCTTAATATATACTAGCACACGTCTGCCAATACAAGGCAACAAAAGTTCATAGGCATGATTCACACCAAGAATAATAAAGCTAATATATAGACAATCCAATAATATAAACTATCCATAATACCCCTCTCAAGTTGGAGCATGGGATTCAAAATGCCCAACTTGTGAAGAAGAATATGAAATTGTATCTTTCCAAGAGCTTTAGTAAAGATATCTGCGAGTTGGACGGTGGTAGGAACATAGCTAGGATAAATGAGTCCATCCTTAATAGCATCACGAACAAAATGACAGTCCACCTCTATATGCTTAGTGCGTTTATGAAAAACTGGATTCCGAGCAATGTGCAAGGCAGACTGACTGTCACAAAAGAGAGGAATGGCATTGGGATGATGAATGCCAAGACTAAGGAGCAAGCCTTTTAGCCATTTGAGTTCACATGTAACAACTGTCATAGCACGATATTCAGCTTCGGCTGAGGAGCGAGAGACAGTGGATTGCTTTTTAGTTTTCCAGAAGATGGGGGAGTGGCCCAGAAAAATTAACCACCCAGATAAGGATCGTCGGGTGATGGGACATGCAGCCCAATCAGAGTCACACCATCCAGTCAGTGAAAGATCAGTGTCAGCTTGTAAAAGAATTCCTTGTCCTGGTGAACCTTTGAGATAGCGAACCAGCTATAGCGCAGCCTCCCAGTGCTGGTGAGATGGTGCTTGCATAAATTGAGGCAAGATGTGAACAGAATACGCCAGTTCTGGGTGAGTCACAGATAAATAAATAAGAAGACCAAAAAGTCGTCGATATGGTTCCGGATCTGCAAAAGGAGGTCCAGACGCACTCGCTGGAGAATGATTTTGTTCAATTGGAAAAGCTGCAGGCTTCGCTCCAAGGAGTCCTGTTTCATATAAAATATTCATGGTATATTTCCTTTGAGTGAGAAAAAGACCTGAGGGGCTTCTGGCCACCTCAATGCCAAGAAAATATTGGAGAGTATCCAAATACTTCATGCGAAAGCAATCACTAAGATAAGCTTTAAAATGAAGAATTGCATCATGATCATTTCTGAAGATAAACTAGAACATTCAGCTGAATAGAGCCCCGAGTGCAGGAAAATAGTGAGTAGTCAGCATAGGACTGAAGAAATATGTAACCTCGGAGAGCACTGACCAATTTAGCAAACCAACACCGTGGTGCTTGTTTTAATTCTATTATTTATGCAACCGACAAACAAGAGATGGATCAGAAGTCATATAACCTAGGGGCACCTGCATATATACCTACTCTTCCAAGTCACCATGAAGAAAAGCATTGTGAACATCCATCTGATCGATGAAGTTCTCAATGTTTGGAGGCAGCAACGGCCAGAAAAACACAATTGATGACCAATTTGACTACCAGAGCAAATGTTTCATTATAATCAAGTCCCGCAACTTGTCGATTACCAAAAATAACCAGACGAGCTTTGAGACGTTCAATACTACCATCAGAGTGGTATTTGATTTTGTACACCCAACGACAACCTAATGCTCGTTTTCCTGGAGGAAGGGGCTGCATATATAGTCCATGTGTGATTTTGTTCAAGTGCACGGATTTCGGCCTGCATAACATCACGCCAACCTGGATCTTTAACTGCCTCTTGAAATGAGGTAGGTTCTGTGTGTGTAGACAAAGCTGCCAAAAGTACGATAGCGAGGAGAGAAATTATCACAATTAACATAATGAGGTATAGGAAATGGGGTACCGACCTGAAGAGACAGTCGGCGCAGGAGAGGCGGGGAATGGACTTTCATGAATAACAGTGTGAGTCACATAATCTTTCAATTTCACCGAGGAGAGTTTGACTCGTTTGCCACGACCCAAATCTGTAGGTGGTGGGACGTCAGGTTGGGTGCCATCAGTTAGTACGGAAGCAGGAGGATCAACTGATGCGGTTGAAGCAGGAAGCTGCACTGTCGTATGATAGTCCCAAACTGGTGGAGGATCATCTCGTGTAGATTCATCGTGGATCGAATCTGGCCGGCGTGGTTATGCCAAATGGAAATTGATCCTCGAAAAATTTGACGTCTCGAGAGACGAAATATTCACGAGTTTCCAAATCATACATGTGCCATCCTTTCTTTCCGAAAGGATATCCCACAAAAATACATTTGCGGCTACGACTGAGGAATTTGTCCCAAGTAGAACGCAAATTATGAGCAAAACATAAACAATCAGTCCCGAAGAGCATTATAATCAGGGGCCTTTTCAAATAAAATTTCGTATGGGATTTTGTATCCAAGCACTGTAGACGGGGTGTTAATTATGAGATGCGCTGCTGTGAGAACGCATTCACCCCGGAATTGAATGGGAGGTGTGCCTGAAAACGAAGAGCGCGGGCCACATTTAGTATGTGCTTGTGTTTGCGCTCTACCCGTTCATTTTGTTGCGGAGTTGCCACACAGGAAGTATGAAATATAAAACCAAACACACAAAAAAACTCCCTGAGACAATTAAACTCCGTACCATTGTCACTACGTACCACTTTAATTTTCTCGAAAAATTGGCGTTCTAGCATAGCACAAAAAGACATAAACATGGTAAAAACCTCTATTTTATCAACTAGCAAATACACCCAAACAGCTCTAGAAAAATCATCAACAATGGTTAAAAAATATCTAGCACCACAGGAAGCTGGAGTGTTGTATGGTCCCCATAAATCAGTGTATAAGTTCAAACTTATGAGTAGAATGACTCATACTAAGGGAAAATGAGTCTCTAGCCTATTTAGCTTGAAAACAAACATCACTAGGTTGGGAAATAGAATGTTTAGAACCACTCACACCCGACAACCATTTCATTATCGTATCTGACGAATGTCCCAAACGCCGATGCCAAATATCCAGATTTTCCGTCTCCTTTTTCACTCCAAAAAGATTAGCTCCAGGAATGCTTCGAAAATAGTAAAGTCCATTCCGCCTCTCACCCGTCCCAATGAGCCTCCTCGAGTGCCAGTCCTGTATAGCACAAAAGTCAAATGTGAATTGGACAAAACAATCATTTTCCTTAGTAATTTGGGAGACCGAGATGAGGCTACAATGCAATTTTGGAACAAATAATATATTAGTCAGACACAAATTATCTGCTAAACAAACTAGTCCCTGTTTGGTTGACCTTTTAGGATGGAATCTCAGACCTTAACATGAAATCAAATCCAAATCGATCCTTGGTGTGGACCCCTTATGAAAAAATGATGACACGATTATAAAAAAATGACAATAATGAATCGATAAAAAAATGAATGACAGCACTACCCAGACGAAGTGTCCGGTCATGAGGAGAGATGTTGAGTATATTTCCACACCGGAAAATTGTGAAGCAATTAAGTGCTATATTAAGATCTGGATTACTCCTCCTTTCAGATTGACCTTTTAGGATGAAAACTCGGGTCTTAACAAAATAAGAACTTTTATATGGGACGTCCAAAAAAGAAAAGCAGAAATCTCCTAATGGGACGGAGGCAGTACATGTTTTAATTCGAGCCCAGTACCTCGTACCATCGTAACCTGGAATGGGAAGTGGAAAGCTAAATACTACAAAGTATGGGGGTGTTTGGATCTGATTCTTAAAACTGCTTCTACTCCTTCAGGGAGTAGAAGCAGAAGCTGGAGTGTTTGAGTGAAAATGCAGAAGTGATTCTGGTGCTCTAATTTACTCTTAGAATCAGTTTTTTTAGAAGCTGGGGGGACTAGTTTTTGAAAACTGATTCTGATTCTGCTTCTGAAATAAAAAGGAAGCAGAAGCAAAAGCAGAATCAGTTCCAAACACTTCATGTATGTACTTTATTCAAATTTCAATAAAATATACTGTTTGGCAAATTGCGAAGTATTATACTCCGTATATACATTATTGATGAGATAGCTACAGTACTGATTATTACTCCGTATAATAATAATTTAATAATACGAAGTGTTTCGATTCGTATTTAAATGTTAATTAAATAAATAATTCCCAAAATACTGTTGGGTTAAAAATAATTGCCAAAATACTGCTGGGTTAACCGTGGTTAAGAAAAGCCGCCACTTGAAGTGGCGGCTCTTCTCTTACAGTATAAAAGCCGCCACTTCAAGTGGCGGCTCTTCACTTACAGTACAAAAGCCGCCACTTGAAGTGGCGGCTCTTCTCTTACAGCACATTTTGTACATATATAAAACGCAGTATGTTTCAAGAATTTTTTTAACTATCTTCCCGATTGAATTTTGAGCTGAAATTTTGTATGAATAGACTAGACTTGATGAGGAACATGCTCAAAAACATTTCATCAAAAAATTCCACTGGGAAAACCCTCTGGTGGTGTTGTCTGCACGGGGGTTCCGGTCAGGACGTCGTGACAGGAATAGGACATTTTTTATGAAATTTGAGGTGCTTCCGAGTTGATTTTGTTGATGACATTTTGTGATCATGTTCTTTCTAAAGTGTAGGTTATGTTCACCGAATTTCAGATTAAATTTAAATCAAGAAATTAGTTAAATTATTTATTGAAAAAACATGCATTTTTAGGCCTAAAAAATTGTGCAAATTTTCAAAAAATTTGTTTAACTAACTTCCCAATTGAAAGGAACCAACTTCAAATTCGAGCTATCACCGCCATCATTATGCCCTTAACAAACAATTCTTTCTCTTCCACTTGTTAAATAAATATGAACTCTATTTGGGCAGTTTATGGCCATTGGAAAAAATTTCAACACTCGTATCAACTATTGCTCTAAGTTCCAATTGCAGAATCACAGTTTTGCGCAATTCACTTGAGCTCATGTTTGGAAGGCAACAGTAAATTCAAGTTCTGTAATCTAGAGAAGCATGTGTAATCCTACAACATACAAACTATTGATAGAAATGCTCAAAGTAATGTAAAAATGGAAATGCATATTATATATAACACATGAAGCTAAAACATGATGACTTATGGGAAAATTATCAACAAATATGAAACAATAAGAAATTATAAAATATTGCTTCTGGGAAATAACATACCAAACGATATAGTTGCATAATTTCTAAAATTTTCTTGGCAAAAATTTTGTCTCATGCCTTCTGAAAATGTTCATGTAAAGTAGGTCTAAAAGTTGCAATTTTAGGCCTACCTATTTCATTTGAGCTATTTCCGGGTCGAATTTGTTGATAAAATTTGGTGAGCATGTTCCCATGTAATGTAGATATGTCCACCAAATGTTAGATTGAAATTAAATCGGGAAGTTAGTTAAATAAATTTTTAAAAAATGCATAATTTTTCGGCCTAAAAATGCAGCTTTTTTCAATAAATTATTTAACTAACTTCTGATTTAATTTTAATCTGAAATTCAGTGGACATAACCTACACTTTAGGATGAACACGATCTCCAAATTTTATAAAAAAACTTGACTCGGAAGCCCCTCAAATTTCATAAAAATGTCTCATTCCTGTCACAACGTCCTGACCGGAACCCCCGTGCGGACAACACCATCAGAGGGTCTTCCTGGTGAAATTTTTCGAGAAATATTCGGTTCACCTATGGCGTCCTTAGATAATATCATCATACTAAAATCCGAGATTTAATTAAGTTTTATCAATGGCTCATTGATAGCTGACAACTTTTAGAACACGTTTACTTCACGGGTTACTAAACGGTGTTTATTAAAACTCGCATTAATAAGCGGCGCATAATTAAGCAGTGTTGTAATAAGAACATGTTTACTTCAAAAGATTTAAAACACCCCTTTAATATTAAAATGTCCAAAATAACTCTATACATATATAGACACATAAACATTCATGAACACAAGTACATAATATAATATGTGGATGTACCCTAACCTCTACCCCACCCTACCCTTCCGCCACAACCTTAACCCCTACCTCTTCCTTACCCCTACTCTAACCACGACCTTATCCTCTGCCCCTATTCCCCTCGTAACCCCTACCTGTTAGGGGTGGGGTCGGGGTCGAGGCAGGGGCATGTGGTATGGGGTAAAGGGGTAGGGTAAGGGGGGGTTGGTTAGGGGTGGTAAGGGCTAGGGGGTTAAGGTAGGTGGGGGGATGGGGTCGAGGTAGGGGCAGGTGGATGGTGGGGTAAAAGAGTGGGGTCGGAGTAGGGAAGAGGTATGGGGTGGGGTGGAGGTGGGGTAAGTAGGGTAGGATGGGTAGGGGTCGGGTGGGATCAAGTTAGAGGAAGGTAGTAGGGGGTAAAGGGGTAGGGGGTAGGTAAGGGGCTGGGGCAGAATGAGTTGGGGGTAGGTTGGGGGATGGGGTCAGGGTGGAGTAGTGATGGACCCGGGCCGGGCCGGTTCCGGTTCAGGCCTGGGCTCGGCCGAGCTTTTTTTTTGGGAAGGGAGAACCGACCCGGGTAGGCAGCGGTTCCGGGCCGGTTCCGGCATTTATTTATTGTTAGAAAATCATTATAGTCATCAACAAAATCAACTCGGAAGCACCTCAAATTTCATAAAAATGTCCTATTCCTGTCACGACGTCCTGACCGGAACCCCCGTGCAGACAACACCACCAGAGGGTTTTCCCAGTGGAATTTTTTGATGAAATGTTTTTGAGCATGTTCCTCATCAAGTCTAGTCTATTCATACAAAATTTCAG